CGGCAATAAATTTATTACCACTGTAATAATTCATTACCACTGTAAGAATTACCGCTAATGGTTCAATTACTACTGTAGCCTGCTTATTTACAAGGCGAGTCAAGTCCCTGGACTTCATTATGTACTTCTGTAACTTATTGACGCCTTCCATAGTTATGGGTAAGGAGGAGTGTGGTGACGAAGCTGGCACATTAATGTTGATACGTGAAGAAACAGAACTGTAACAAGATGAACAAGAATAACAGATCAACAAAACAGAGCAGTAACAGGGATCACCGGCAATAACAGTATCAATGTCAAATAACAAATCGCATCAAACTATAAAACGCTCTTACAACAAGCTAATAACAAGATCAAGACACGATCAATTATACAGATGAACGGAGGAACCAGATAAAAGATAGGAACATAGCAAGTTCAACATACAAAGACAAGATGAACAAACACAAGGTGTTGCTACAACAGTAATAAGAGTAACAGCAATACAGATCAGCAGTATCATCATTATATATATCGCGTGGGGCCAGTTGTCGAACCAGCAAGTCAGGATTCGGACTTCCTCCACCGTCGTTATTTGGAAGAGTTAAGCAGGTCTGCTTGAGGAATGACTTCAAAATTCCCCCTGGATCTGTTCACATGTTATGAATCAATTCATCGACGAATGTGTGTCTGTTTTAGCTTCAAATGGAGGACAATCCATATTGAAAAATATAGATGTTGAAGAACAAGGGTTGCTAGTATATATATACTATATATATTATATATATACTACCAATATATATATTTATATATATTTTTTATATGCACATCACACAGTGGACCCCGGTTTACGATAATTCATTCAGAAGTATGTTCAGTGCCAGTAACTGACCGAATTTGTTCCCCATAAGGACTATTGTGAATTAGATTAGTTTTTTCAGACTCCCAAACATACACATACAAAACGCAATTACATAAATACAACTTACATAACTGGTCGCATTTGGAGCTGATCGTAATCCGGGGTGGGTCCACTGTGTATTTTATTATTATTTATATATATATATATCCGATATATATATATATATTTATATATATATATATATATCTATATTGAAAATAAGAAAATGTTTTGGAGTGAGATTAACAAGTTAAGAAAGCTTAGGAGAACAAATGGTTGTGTCAGTTTAAAAAATAGGAGAGGAGAGTTATTAAATGGAGAGTTAGAGGTATTGGGAAGATGGAAGGAATATTTTGGGGAATTGTTAAATGTTGATAAAGATAGGGAAGCTGTGATTCGTGTATAGGGCAAGGAGGAATAACATCTTTAGGAGTGAGGAAGAGCCAGTTGTGGTGTGGGGGAAGTTCGTGAGGCAGTAGGTAAAATAAAAGGGGGGTAAGGCAGCCGGGATTGATGGATAAAGATAGAAATTTTAAAAGCAGGTGGGGATATAGTTTTGGGTGGTTGGTGCAATTGTTTAATAAATGTATGGAAGAGGGAAAGGGTACCTGGGGAAATTGGCAGAGAGCATGCATAGTTCCTTTGTATAAAGGCAAAGGGATAAAAGAGAGTGCAAAAATTATAGGGGATAAGTCTGTTGAGTGTACCTGGTAAAGTGTATGGGAGAGTTATAATTGAAAGAATTAAGAGTAGACGGAGAATAGGATGCAGATGAACAAGGAGGCTTTAGGAAAGGTAGGGGGTGTGTGGACCAGGTGTTTTTTCAAATGAAACATATAAAATGAACAGTATTTAAAAAAATAAAGCTAAGAGTCTTTGGGCATTTATGGATTTGGAAAAGGCGTATGACGGTGGATAGGGGGGCAATGTGGCAGATGTTGCAAGTGTATGGTGTAGGAGGTAGGGGTTTCTGAAAGCAGTGAAGAGTTTTTTACGAGGATAGTGAGGCTCAAGTTAGAGTATGTAGGAAAGAGGGAAATTTTTTTCCCAGTAAAAGTAGGCCTTAGACAAGGATGTGTGATGTCACCGTGGTTGTTTAATATATTTATAGATGGGGTTGTAAGAGAAGTAAATTTCGAGGGTCTTGGGAAAAGGCTGGAGTTAAAAGATAAAGAATCACACACAAAGTGGGAGTTGTCACAGCTGCCTCTTTGCTGATGACACGGTGCTCTTGGGAGATTCTGAAGAGAAGTTGCAGAGATTGGTGGATGAATTTGGTAGGGTGTGCAAAAGAAGAAAATTAAAGGTGAAACAGGAAAGAGTAAGGTTATGAAAGGGTAACAAAAAGATTAGGGGATGAAAGATTGAATATCAGATTGGAGGGAGAGAGTATGGAGGAGGTGAACGTATTCAGATATTTGGGAGTGGACCCTGTCAGCGATGGGTCTATGAAAGATGAGGTGAATCATAGAATTTATGAGGGAAAAAGAGTGAGTGGGGCACTTAGGAGTCTGTGGAGACAAAGAACTTTGTCCTTGGAGGCAAAGAGGGGAATGTATGAGAGTATAGTTTTACCAAAGCTCTTATATGGGTGTGAAGCGTGGGTGATGAATGTTGCAGCGAGGAGAAGGCTGGAGGCAGTGGAGATGTCATGTCTGAGGGCAATGTGTGGTGTGAATATAATGCAGAGAATTCGTAGTTTGGAAGTTAGGAGGAGGTGCGGGATTACCAAAACTGTTGTCCAGAGGGCTGAGGAAGGGTTGTTGAGGTGGTTCGGACATGTAGAGAGAATGGAGCGAAAACAGAATGACTTCAAGAGTGTATCAGTCTGTAGTGGAAGGAAGGCGGGGTAGGGGTCGGCCTAGGAAGGGTTGGAGGGAGGGGGTAAAGGAGGTTTTGTGTGCGAGGGGCTTGGACTTCCAGCAGGCATGCTTGAGCGTGTTTGATAGGAGTGAATGGAGACAAATGGTTTTTAATACTTGACGTGCTGTTGGAGTGTGAGCAAAGTAACATTTATGAAGGATTCAGGGAAACCGGCAGGCCGGACTTGAGTCCTGGAGATGGGAAGTACAGTGCCTGCACTCTGAGGAGGGGTGTTAATGTTGCAGTTTAAAAACTGTAGTGTAAAGCACCCTTCTGGCAGACAGTGATGGAGTGAATGATGGTGAAAGTTTTTCTTTTTCGGGCCACCCTGCCTTGGTGGGAATCGGCCGGTGTGATAATAAAATTAAAATAAAAATATTAGGTTCCCGGAAATCGGCACTTCTTATGATGAACATGCTAGGAAGATAGGTTACATTCTTAACACCTCTAAAATGCAAGTATTTTTAATTTCTCAATTCTTCGAAATAATAGTTTTTCTTACCAAACATTTTAGCTGATGTTGCCTTGTACAGTACCTGTATCGTGGTGAAATTAGACAGTGATAAAAATGTTTACATGTCACTACGAAAGTACGTCAATATTTTCTTCAAGTCTGGTTGCTGGTGCATAATAATCTTGAGAGGATGGCTGTGGCTTCACTGGGCCGAGGTAAACGGTTGTGGTTGTTGGGTTGATGCTGATGGTTGGCTGTCTTGTGTTGATGTCGATGCAGCGTTTACTACGATGCTTGTACTGAGTGATCAGTACTGTGTCACCTCTTTCACTCTGCGGTACTTCATACAGGTGACGATAAAGCATCATTACGTGAGTCAGCAATAATTCCAGATTTGTCAGGTCTTTTTATATCCAAAAAAATCAC